TATCTCATTATTGAAGAAATAATATTTTAGCATAAATGTGTGATTAGAAATTGACTCCAGCTGCGATTGTTCATAATCAAACCGAAAATTTGTTAATTTTACACCAACTAATATTTCATCCTGATGCCGAAATCGCGAATCATTATTTATTGTATTTTACCTCATCACCGCATGTTATCAACGGATGACAACCTGAGTGATGACTCATGCAGCGACGCCAAAACGAGTATTACCGATTACAGATTTAAGTTTAATGACAAATGCTGAAAGGGGAGATTTTAGCAGAAATTTCTTTCCTTATGCTAAAATAGATTTGTTAATGATACATGGACAAACGATTATATTTAGTGCTTTGAATTAAGAATAAACTGATGTGTTACACATAAAGCCAGAGAACCAGGACAGCTCGCATGGCCGCCAGGCGGGCAGAATTTAGCGAAGTTAAACAGAAGTTTTTCCTTGTGATGACAATGCCCAATCATCAATCAATTAACGGAGGGCGACATCTGTAGGTCTGGTTCTAATGCAGAAAATACAGCTACCAATAGTGAAGAAATAACGAGAGGTTACAACGAGAAAAAATTTGATTGACAAGTTATTCGGAATTCTCGACACAGCAATTACAGGACTTGAACATGGAACTTAATAAATGAACAAGAAAATATAGGTCTATAGTATTAGTCTAACGTATTAGTACAGAAAAAATCAAATCAATTTTGAAAGAAATTTTAATAAAGTAAAAATATAAATATTAAGCTCTTGTTTTTTGTAAATTTTGATACCCTTTAAATCAAAAGCTTCATTATTTCATAAATCACCTGTTCATATTTCATTTATATCTACGTGCCATTTAGTAGATTAAAATGATCTTAATATCTGGAAAAATTCAAATCGGGATCGCCGAATTGATTGCGTAGTATTTAAAGAACTGGCAGACGAGGGCTTTACTTCCATTTTATTTCCAATTGATATTGTGGCCACAATCACTTGGCAACAGTCAGCCTTTCCAGAAGATTTACATTTCTGATATGGTTGGGATAGAAAGCAAGCCAGCAAAATTACCTATTAGAGAGTCGAGAGCAAAAACTGCGTGTAGTATGAAGATGGAAGCACGCAAAGAGAAAAGTTTTGGTTTACAATTCGGTATTGGTCGTAAGAGGCATGGTATTAACGGTTACGTAAGATCGCATGATTAATTTGAATGACGCAATGCAGATAAGTTATTACGTTTTAGAATAGAGGGAAGTAATGTTTATAGTATAATTCTTGATTCATACATTTTTATCTTACATATTACCCCCTCCAAAAAGAAAAGGCGTAGCGACAGAGAAAGCCTTTTAAGAGAAAGAGTTTAAAGCACTAGCAAATGTAAAAAAAAACATAAATCATAAAATTTGTCCTGTAAAGTATAATTTATAAATATCAATTTTTTAAATTTTTAATTTTTAAAGTCCTATTGAATTTTTCAGCATTCATCAAAGTCTTTTTGTTCGAGAATTCACTAATCATAATTCTTCAGGAAGGTTCTTGTATTACAGAATATCACAAAAACTTTTACTAATCATTACTTATGTTAAATGTATGCTACATAAATATTATGATATTATTTTATACTGATAAATTATAATTTACATCAAATAATAGGATTATATTTTCAGATTATGGTTTAACCGTTATCATCTTTCATACAATTCCTGATTTTACAAAACTGGAAGCCTCGCAAATACTTTACAACATATCATCAATAGGGATGTCCTCTTGAGCTAAAAGTGTTTGTTCTATGCCTAGTGGCTCAGGGTGCCTAGACAGTTACTGGAAAAGGCCTCCGTTCCTTGCATTAAGGTAATGGCTTTGAGAACTGCACTAATACATTCCATAATAAAAAAAAAAATATTAATAATTAATATAAAAATTTACATGCATTCATAAAATGAGAGCCTCCAACAGATCTTGCATGAAGAGGGTAAAGGAACAATGTACAGAGGTAATTGCAGGCCTCTGTGGAAGGAACCAGTACACCCTCATTTATTACACACTAACCATCAATTTTTAATTTTACGTATCTGTAACAATTTTCACTTATTTTTTACACCTACTCATTTTAGAATAATATAAAATTGTATTCAAAATTCTCAACAAATTCAAAAACATAAAAACTTATCTTATATTTTCCCTATGAATAATTTAAATATTAAAAACTCGTTACTAATTTGCTCGCACATAATTATGAAAAAATTAGAAAAATTAATGAACAAGAATTCAGATTTTCTCAAAACAAATGCAGAATTTTTAACGAAAGTTGAAAATGAAAACTATAGAATTCGCAGCATAATAAATGATTTAGTTCCTGAGTTAGATTCACATGAATGTAACAATTTTTGAGCTGTTGAAAAAGCAGAAGCCTTCGCACATACTTGCAAACACTTAACTCAGATCGACCTTGAACCAACTGTAATGCTGAATTCCTAAACGGCAATTCACTGATGATTTCTTTTTCACTAGGCATTTGAACTTCTCAATTTATCAAGAGATTACTTTCAATCTGTAAACACTACACGAGATTATTTTTTTGAAGCACTTGCAAAACACCAGAGCAGAAGATGATCTGTTATTTTTTAAACACTGAAAAAACAAACTGATGATTTCACTTCTTTCAATTATCTTGGATTTATCACAAAACGATGATTTGAAGAGCTGAATTAAATTTTCCATTGAGGTTTCAGGCTGCAGGAAACTATCCTACCGGCTGCACCATATTATTGAAGGGGGATATGTAAGATACAATAAATATGTTAGCTGTTCAAAAAAATAATTGACGACCTCAAATTAAACATTCTAAATTTGGTAATCTGCCCTAAATTCATCTCTTCTCACAGTTCCAGGACTTTCTACCTTATGTAACGTTTTAATGCAGATGCCTCTCGTCCAATCAAATTAATTCTAAACCAAAACTGTGAACTGAAACTTCAGTCTTCTTGCTATAAATGTACTTTTTTACCGCATAGCTTTCCTGCTGGCAAGACGCTCTTAAACCATGCTGCTGCTTACTTGTTTAAGATGACGTCGTACTTCAAAATGGGAGTTATTCTATTCAAATATAATTAGGAAATATCTTGCCTGAAAAAGGATGATATGCATGGAAAAAATAAAGATTGTGATTTTTCAAGATATGTTATGCTAAATTGCATCATCATGCTTTCCACTCTGCCACCTTCAAACCACAGTTTCATTACATATATATATATAATACGGAATGTATATTTTCAGTTAAACTTCTACCCAATAACTTTAGTAATTCATGAAAGTTAATTTTGCGTCTAGTTAATTCAGGAAAATTAGTTTCAATTAGTTGTTTTCAGCTTTAAAAAATATTAACAAATTTTTTAATTAGTTATTTCAACTAATAATTGTATTGCCATTAGCAAAAATAATGCATTACTATCAACAGATGGATTAAACCAAATACTAATTGTCTATTGAAGCTTCAAAAAGTATTTCCGACTTCACTTTTTCTCGGCTAGCGTTACCGAATTTGCCCTTGGCAACCTAAAGTCAAAATGGAGCCAACAGATTTCTCGCGAAATCGATAACAGACAAGCTGCTGTAGAAAAAAACTGATAATCCCGATATCCCATACATATAGTATGCGCAAAAGAGAATAAACTCCGCAGAAGGTGATAAAAAGTTAATTTATGGCTTAATTGAAACAAACACAGAAATTGAGCTAAGCAAAACCGCGTAAAAACAAATTGAAATGATAAAACGAAACTTAATTTTCATGTGAATTTTCAGCGCTGACTCTCCCATTCTAGAAATTTCAATTTGTTTCAGACAAAGACCGCATTTAGCTTTAAAAGCTTTGTCATCCATCAATATCCAGTCTTTGTAGTCAGCTTGATGAGGCCACAGCTTATTGAAAATGCACTTTCCAGGCTTCTCGTTCCTATTGGCGTCGGAAGGGTTCTGGCCTTCCAGGTTGGGACTGCTCTAATTTTGGGCAAATATTTTCAGAATCCCCCCCCTTTTTTTTCTCGAGCACCTTCATCATCATTTTCGCCTCTTAAAGAACTTCGGCTTCGCTTTCGTCACAATCTGCCTAAATTTATGGATAACACCTGTTTCAAAACATTGGGTGAATAGCCAATCAGACCACCGATACTTTCATTCTAGGCTAGGTAATTAATTTTTTATCGTTTGCAACGCAAATCCGCCAACAGATTGGTTAAGAGTCGTGTAATTTTAATTTCATATTCATGAGAAATTCGCAATTCACACTTAGAATGGCAATCATTAGAAATGATAAGAAATGTCAAATGAGCAAAATTAAGGACCGTTTATTCATTTTGGCCAAAATTAAGGACTTTTAAGGACCAAAAATCATTTTTGAAAAAATTAAGGACTTTTAAGGACCGTACGAACCCTGCTCGTCTGAATAAAAGAGAAAAAAATCATCTTTTTATACAATAAAATGCAACTGATTTTCTCTAAAGTTTGAAATCCTGTGATTTATTAAATGTATGAGGGGCACATCAACTAAAAGTTTATATGGGTTATTATTCTTCCACATAAATCATCATGATGAAAAAATTTTTATTTCCCTTGTGAATGTGATGTCCTAGATACCAAACTACTATGATACTATATTCTGACATTCTCATCACATATAAAATTTCTGAAGACCAAAATGTCTCTTAAGAACATGCAATACTGAAGAATAGACATGAAATAATACCCCTGGTGATTTTTCCATTTAATTAGTACCATCAGTACATTCAAAAGTTCATGAAAAAATGGATTTCAAAAATAAAATGACATATACAAATAATGTCTAAAAGTAAATGACAAATGATTTCAATTTGAGACTGTGTCATAGAAATCAATTCATTTATTACTTCAGAATTTTAAGGCCAAATTTTACATATTCTGAACAGTTAAACTAGCTTGTAAACAGCCATTTTGATCATCTGACTATAAGAATGTGCAACAAATGTTACAGTTACCTTCCAAGTATGACCTTCTGCAGCAGCTATGGCTTTAGCCTCTCGTGGATCTTCCACAATTCGACTTTGGGAACCCGTAAAATCCATTGCCACACGTGGTTTCATTGGAGTGTAATCCTAGAAATATAAGACCAGAATTATAGATACATAACAGTATAATACACACCTATGTTATCCTCTGGTTTTAAAGTTAGAACATGCTTCTTACACCAAAAAATTTAATAGCAAATATATGTATATTCAAAAAATTTCAAAATCTAAAATGAAACTTCATAAGAAAAGAGATTTCCTTTGGCCATAATATTTCAAGGATTAAAATAAAATAAAAAGAAATTCTTTATCTACTCTTATATTAAAACCTTTGCAAAATACATTTTTGTTAAAACAGCAGTTCTCTCATCATGTACAAGCAAATGGTTCTGCTTACGGTTAAATTCAGCCCAGATAATATTAACCAAAACAGGTAGTTTAAATTTCTAATAACTGCCCTCTATACTTAGCCAACTTGTACAGTAATGGCGTTCTACAGATTAGAGGACAAGAATGATGAATTAAATGGTCATATCAGATATGTCTGGATTTTTATATGGATTGTTATACTTGGATTGGTCATTACGTTGAGGCCATATTGACCCTTTCGCCGTCTCTCCTGTCCACAAAAATTTCTCCCCAACGACCCTTTGTTTTTCGCAGCATGTAATGTCGTTTTCTTTGTACATAATAACTTTCGTAGTGGATGAATTTACATGAATATTAAGTAAAATTATAAGGAAATAAAGCATAATGGAAAAGTAATAATATATCTGCTTATTTCTAACAGTAGGATTCATTTGATAACATCTGATCCAGGCGGTCCACTCTGCTATGTTTTTGTAATCTTTACAATTATGTTTTTTTACGTTTCTTTCAGTGTTTCAATCCGTCTTAGTTATTATAGATACTCTCAAAATGTAACCCTTCTTTCTTAACCTCTTTTTTCTCTTTTTGCTCAGTAGACTTGAAGTCTCTCTCTAAGTCTGATTAGTATAGCAACAAATGGTACTCAACAAGTACTTAGAAAGGGTTTTAAACATTTAAAAGTTTTAAAATGTAGAAGAACGCTTGAAGCGCGTTACGGCCACACCGCAGAAGTTTCACTTGAAAGCACTGGATGCGTTACATACGACGAAGAGGTTAATGAGCACTGTATGACATTTGTTGCTCTCACGGACCATTTTCTAAAACTACATCGCAAATACACATTCAATAGTTTTTTCTTGCATAGCAAGATGTGAAATAAAAAATAACATTTTAATTACCTTTAGTTTAATTAGAAAAGTTACCAAAAATATAATAAAATTTTGTATTCTAAAGAAACCCAAAAAATTTCATGATTAAACACTAATTTCAGCTTATAGATGGGAAAAGTATGGAGAATACCTAATACACACAAATAGTAAACATGTATCATCTCTCCATACTATTGCTAAGAAAAAACAGAAGTTAATGGATTTTATGGAATTTCAAAAATGCAGTTGAAAAAAATCAGTTGAAGTTCTAGAGTCTCCCTATAGAATAGTCACTGCTTATTCAATTCTTTCCATTCTTTGCTATATCATCACACATCGCTCTTGATTTACTCCCCATTTTTTATCTTATTCATCAACGCTATTGTCTCTGAGTCACGAATTACTCCCTCTCCCCCCAGAAAAGAACCAATTCACTCTAATCAGCAAATGGTTCTGATCTGATCCCATAACAGGGTGGCTCTGCCTATATCTAATGCATAGGAAATAGAACAAAATGTGCAAAATAATTACAATGATAATAAGCCAAAACTTTATTCAGTACGGAAATCTTAAAATCAAATTATATTTGACTTGAAGAGTGAAACCATTGCCATGTAATGAAATGCGATACCCCCAATAATGGTACACTCAGCTTACTAATCTTATTTGAAATCTACTTCAGTTATTCAAAGTATCAGAGAAGGACATTTTATATTTCTTACACATCTTTGCTAACTAACTACAATATTTTATTACATTACATTTATTTATTATTACATATACTAAATAATATTTTATTAAGGACATAACCTTTGCTTATGTTACACATTCATCAGACACACTTTAGTTCAGGTAATAAAACCTCAAACCTATGAAAACATAACTACATCTATGACAGCTTTTTTATATTTCAATAGAAAGTATATTAAAGCTGTATTTATGCAGAATGAAACAGAAACTTCATTTATATTATTTTGAATACTCACAGATAATAAGGAATCTGCTGAATTAGACATTCCACTATCTATGGAACCAATAGGACTATCAATATGCCTTGATTGTACTTCTTTATAATTTTCTCTAATTCTTCTTCCATACTAAAAAAACATGAATAATTAATATATTGAAATCACTACATATTAACTGAAATACGTGAAATTATTAAGATTTTATTGGATAATACTATTTAAACGTTTTTATTTTAATAAAGTATTCAAATAAAAAATTTTGGTTTCCATGTATACATTACCATTGGAAATTTTTCTTTTAATTACCATAATTAGATGCACACAAATACTGTATATTGCAACCCCATTCAAGAAATTTTTCTTTTAATTACCATAATTAGATGCAGACAAATACTGTATATTGCAACCCCATTCAAGAGAGAATATGTTAAGTTAAAGAACCAAATGGCCGGGTTCAACCAAAAGGTTGAACCAACAATAAAAAAAAGTTATTTTTTTTATTATTACAAATTCTCCTTAAAAACATATTCTAGTACTTAACATATGCTATTATGTTATCCTCTGGATATTCAGAATGTGATTTTATGAAATAAAATATTCATTGTAATATTGTTTCTGTTGCTCTTAGTAACAGAAGCATGGATATAGCCATATGCATTATAATTTTCAAAATTCTTTATTCTACTCAAATATTCTCCTAAACAGCAAATTGATTTAAAAAAAAAAAATATCATGAAATATTACTAACAAGAAAATTATTTTATACCAAACATTCCAAAAATATAAAACAATTTAAAGACAAAAAAATTAGAATTTAGGAATAGCCTTTAAATACCAACCATTGAAATAATGCCTAGTTTTTCTACAAGCCATGTTAATTGCCCCATCATTGCCAAGGTTGTGCTGAATTTCGTAGTTCTGCCTGGTTTAGGTTTGAACCCAGGTGAACGGGCTAACTGAATGGCCGGTTTTTACCATGTGCAATATGAATATGAGCTAGTTTCCCTCAGAAAGTCCTCCACGAAGGCATCCCTTCTCTTAGACAGGTAGCCCTAGTGGCTTTGCCATTCTGAATTTATGCTTTGTAACCAATCCTTTAACATAAACTGTTGGACTAACTGCGACAATAGGCTGCCCTCTGTTGAGTAGCCAGAAGTACTTCAGTAAAAGCCAAGGCTCCAACTTGATAGGTCGTACCAGACTTGATAGCTCTGTAACTTGATAGCTCCAACTTGATAGCTCTGTAATTTTTTCTTAAAGTTAAATGTAATGTCCGTGTGTAACTTAAACCTGATTATAAATACTTGTTACACTATACAGGACTCTTCTATGACCCTATCTAAAACAAACCCTTCACAGCTTTTAATTAGAAGTAAGGAACTAAATTCGAAAGCTATTTATTGAAATTTCATGAAGACAAAAGGAGATGACTGCTTGTTTTAAACAGAACTTCAATAAACAAATATCAAAGTTATGAAATTTTGTAGAATACATAACAAATCTGGATTGCTTGCTTCAAGAACAGAACTGTATTACTTTCAGCCATCAAATATAATATTTATTAACTGTAGAAATTCAATGAGATGCTTATTTTAAAATAGTTGTACATCAAGTCAAGTATTAAATTATCCTGGAAAAGAATGAGAGAGCTACATTGATTAACTGTTTGCAAATTAATAGCATTTTTTAAAATTGCCACAACAACTTATTTCCTTCAAAACAATAACAGTTTAAATTAAATGCTAGAACTGCTTACAAAAAAAGCATCTAGTTTAACCAAATTTATTAAGATAAAAATAGTACGCTCTTATAACTGAGATGCTAAAATGAATAAATTGCTCTGTTTTAACTTTATAAAAATGGCCAGTATCAAAAGCAATGATTTATCAAGTTTCAAACAGTATGAAGAGCACCGACAATTTCATATAAATTGAAATTAAGGAAAAAGGGCCTAAAAAGTAGCAAATAAGTTAGAAAAATGGTTATGTTCATTAAGGAACTGGACACCTCTACTTGTTCAGCAGCTTAAAAACTGAAGCCATCAAAATAAACTCTTTACTGAATTCAAGAAGATTTGGGTTAAAAGTTTTATATTTAAAAAAAAAAAAAAAAAACAGGGGAAAATAACCCCCCCCCCGGGGGGGGGAAAAAAAAAAAGCCTTAATAAATAGTAGGAACTGATTCTATAAGAATTATGCAGAAACTCATCACAGATGAGAAATTTTATTTTAAATCTGATCCAAGTGGCATTCCTTTGTGCACATGGAGATAAAACCTGAAGAAAACTTCATTAGAAAAGTTATTGTACAGCACACTACAGACAAAGAGGGCAATGCCTGTAATTCCATCTTTCTTCCAGGAACTCTAATTGAGTCTGTTTATTTATATATCCATTAAATAAAAATTTGATTTCTTTCATTAATCATTATCCTCTTAATCATTACATTGAAGGCCATGTGTTAGCTACTAGCCATTATATAAAAGTCTATTTAAAAAAATAGAAAATTGATTTTTGCGTCTAAAATCAAATGTACTCCAAGCTAATGGTATGCCTTCAATGTACCCTAAACTAGCAGTACAGTGGAACCTTAAGATAAGAGCAACTCTATGTATGAGAAATTCGAGATACGAGGATATCTGTATAAATGGGCATTGACTCAAGTAACAAGCAATGAACCAGACTGTTAGTATGCATGGTGCGTTTCCCAATCCAGTTCGACTCGGGGAATACCCTCGTCAATCGCTGGGTTTTGATTACATGTTTGCACGCTTGTGAGTTTAATTGTTTTTTTAATTTAACATGAAAATAAGTATTTCACGATGCCTCCCAGAAGACTGTTGCTTCAGATAATGCTGCAAAGAAAAAGAAGAAAGCCATGGTCATTGAAATTAAGAAAGAAATCATAGATAAACATAAGCATGGTGTAACAGTGACAGAATCAGTGGAGACTTATGGTTGTTCAACATCGACGATCAGCACTATTCTGAAAAAGAAGGAAGAAATTAAGGAATTTGTTGTGACCAAAGAAATTCCCATTACTTCCTAGCACCATCCAAAACTCTTAGATGATGTTGGGAAGCAGTTGTTGGTGTGGATTAAAGAGAAGCAGTTAAAAGACAATTCGGTGTCAGAGACTATCATTTGCGTTAAGGTGAAGAATCTGTACTTGGAGCTTCTCCGAAAAACATCAGTTACGTCGACTGAAGATGAGATGGCATTTAAGGCAAGCCAGGGATGTTTCGAAAGATTTAAAAACAGAACCTGTATTCACAGTGTTGTGCGACATGAGAAGGCTGAGAGCTCTGATACAGCTGCTGCTGCTAAGATCTGATTTCGGCCAGAGTTCCTACAATTTATTACTAGTGAAGGGTTTCTTCCCCAGTAAGTGTTTAATTATGATGAAACAGGTCTTTCTGGAAGAAAATGCCTAAGAGGACCAACATCACGAAAAAGGAGCAATCTTTGCCTGACCACAAGACAATGAAAGATAGGCTTACCCTCTTGTTTTGTGTCAATGAAAATGGAGATTGTAAAATAAAGCAATTGCTCGTCTACCACTCAGAAAATCCACAAGTTTTCAAGAGAAAGAAGGTGTAGAAAAACCGACTAAACTTGGTGCGAATGGTCAATGGCATAGCCTGAGTAACATGGCAAATTTTCATCAACTGGGTCAATTAAGTTTTTGATCCCTCAGTGAAGAAATACCTTCACTAAAATAAGTTGCCACTCAAGGCTTTACTCGTCTTCAATAATATTCTACATCCTTCAAGGCTTGAAAGATGATCTGTTGGAGGAATTTCAGTTACAGAAGTCAAGTTTCTTCCTCCCAACACCTCTCCACTTCTCCAACCTATGGACCAGTAAATTATTTCCAACTTTAAGAAGCTGTACATGAAGGCCTTGTTTTAAAAGTGTTTTGAAGTAACTGAAAATACAGTCAAAAGTCTTTAATCCAGATGTCCATAATCCAGAATGATCTATAATCCGGACATCAAAGCTACAAACTATCTGCACATGCGTAAACGAATAATGCATTTACGCATGCGCATGTGCGTTTATGCATGCATGTAATACGTTTACGCATGCACATTTAATGTATAACAGACGGTATAAACTAAACTAAAATTATCTATTTCAGTTAATGTTGCAGATTGTGTTATTCCTTAATCTTCTAATTGGATCCGGCTTATTATTTTTTGCAGACTGTTAGAGCAATTTTATAAAAGTAAGCTTGAACTTTCGATTATGTCAAAAAGAATTTCCGATTCTGGAGCTGCCAAAGGATCTACAAAGCAAAAGCATTTTTCGATGCCCATCAAACAAAAAGTGGAATTGCTGGAAAAAAAAAAAAAAAAGGATAAAGGCATATCCTTTGTTTCTCTAACCATTCCAAAATCTGTTTATCAATTTGATGCTGCTCTATGGGGAGTGGGGGGGGGGATGTCGCGGCGCGCAATGAACTGGAAGTTGATTTATCAGCACTATCCTCATCTTCAGGGCAGATGTTTTTATTTTATTTGGCTTATAATTCCTTACTAAATGCAGTATTTCATCTCGATGTACTCCGTCTCTGATATGATTTAAATCAAATTCCTCATCATTATAAATACCACAAATACACATCAAATAGTTTTCTGGTTGCAATTTTCTAATTTCAACTATGTGCAATGTATGCTTTACGTATGCGCGCATTGAAAAAAATGTTTAATAAAGTAAACAAATAAATATTAAGCTTTTTTTTTTGTAAATTTTGATACCCTTTAGATTATAATTGCTCTTTATTTCATAAATTAAGGTTTCATATTTTTAATTTTATAATTTCTGCATGCCATCTTACCAGATTTAAACTGATGATCTATAATCTGGAAAAACCGATAATCCAGAATCACCGAAGTCCCGACGAATCCAGATTAAAGACTTTTGACTGTACAAGCCTGACTCTTAGAGAATTTCGGAAGGATTGCTCCAACATCCTAAATTTTTTAAACCTCATTGATAAGGCTTAAGAAAAAGTCTCAACGAGGTGTCTGAATTTAGCATGGAAAAAACTACTGTGGTCTCAAGAGTATTCCTGTCTTGGGTTTCGATCCCCAACTTGTGGACAACACAGTGCAGTTAGTCAAAGAAATTTTTCGCTGGGGAAAAGTATGGATCTGGATGAGTTAATGGAGAAGCATAGTGAAGAAATTAGATCAGACGAACTTGAAGGACTGAAGTGCATGATGTGGTAGAAGAGCTTTCGTTAGGGAAAGAAGGAACAGGAGATGAGGCTCTCTCTTCCAGTAAGATTAAAGAAATGCTGCCACAGTAGGAAGAAGTGAGAACTTTCTTTGAAGAAAACCACCCTATTAAAGCAGTGCATGGGCGCACCATGAACTTGTGTAATGACAATGAAGTGTTGCATTTTAGAGACATCTTAAAAATGAGACTAAATGAAGTGTTATTAGATAGGTTTAGGGTAAAATTCCCAAGAAGAGAAAGAGCCTTCCTGAATCAGAGGGAATATGGTTGTATTATTTAGCAGTGTTATTTATTAGGAAAAATTTATTTTTATGCTGATATTTTTGGGGGTGCAAAACAGATTGTTATATATATGTGGCAAAACACTAGTTGCTTGTTGAACTGAACTGAAGTAATCACCAGTTGATGTTGGTTTGTAATAAACAATGTGCCATGTGATCCTGTAGTAATGTCACTTATTTATTGACCAGTAATACAGTGCAAAGTTCGTAATCCGGACGTCCATTATCCGGAATGATCTATAATCCCGAACCTCAAAGACACAAACTTTTTTTTTTTTTGTATGCTTTTACGCATGCACGTTTAATGTTTACGTATGCACGTTTAGCACAAAAAACGAAGCAAGTTAAACAACTTACATAGAAAGAAATGTTTAATACAGTAAACAAATAAATATTAAACTTTTTTTTTGTAAATTTTGATACCCCTTTAGATCATAATTGCTCTTTATTTCATAAATTACGTTTCACATTTTTAATTGTATAATTTCTGCGAATTAACTGGATTTCCATTATTTTCAATGGGGAAGTATGTTTTTAGATATGAGAAATTCGCTATACAAGCTCAATGGTGGAACAAATTAAACTTGTATCTTGAGGTTCCACTGTATAAGAAGATCTGGGGCTTAAAAAAAAAAATTAACATTAAAATTAAAAAATAACACCTATTATTACATTCTTTCTCTAAAAAAGGGGGAACAAAGAAATTTTAGTAGCAATTTACGTATGCCCATCAAAGAATTAATTCAGTAATATTCTAATTTGGTATGTATTTAATTCGGCATATATTTGAAAATAAAAAGTCACTAACTTTGGCAAGTCTTAAAGCCACAATCCAACACTGTCGATGCTTCTCAGTTTCACAACAAAACCACAAAAGATTTCTGGAGTCTTCTTCAGGACAAATGGAATTCTAAAAGGAAACAATCTGATCAAGCACACATATTACACAAAAATATGCATTACAATTTTTTTTTTAATCTGCATGCAATTTTGATTAATTACACATGTTACACAATAACATACATCACAAAAAGGGGAATATGCACACAATTCAGCATTATATATTAACAGATCTAATTTGTAATAAATTTAAGATATCAAACTCCCATTAAAGTAAAATTTTTGCTTCAATGTCTCCCAATTTCAAGAAGTTACATTCATAAACATAGCAGTTTCAAAATAACATGAAAGTTTGGTACTTTGATGATCTGCACCCCATTGAAAATATTCATGAGGCAATGCACTATATAACAAAAACAGGCAATCTAGGACAGAATGGGGCACCTGGCGTCTACGAGAGGTGAGCAGGTGCATGCCCCTTGTCCTCCACTATCCAACACTTATCCAAGAATTAAAGGAGTTGGGTGAGAAACATGGCCTTACAGGGGAAGCTCAACAATGGCTACAGATTTGGGAACAGAGGGTGCAAGAAACATATTGTAATGCATGTAAATATAACAGAGAACCTAAAGCATAAGAGTAATACAATAAAAAAAATAGTGCAATATAAAGTAAATAAGTAAAAAATACATATTTTTAATGTATTTTTTACTTTAGCAAAATCTATTCAAGTGGCATCCCAGGTATGCATACATGGGCACAGTAGATGAGAACCGATTTCCGACTTCACATTCAATGGCTGTTTCTGTCTACAGGGATAGGAACACAGCAAAAAAGGTGTTTTATTATGGATGCTTTCATGTTTTTAATTTTGTTAACTGGTTGTATTTTAAGTAATTCTTAGTTTGCCACAATTTCTTAAAATGGCTATTGTCTTTTGTGGCTTAGCTTGATAATAAATCAGTCACCGACAGCTGGTGACTTTAAGCAAATGAGTGCAGATAATAAATAAGTATGAATTTTTCTTAAAAAATCTTACTATTTTAAGAAACTTTTTCAACACAAACGTAACCTTTTTTCCACCCGCAAATGATATGAATTAAGAATCAATTTTTAAAAAAGTATTATTAATACCATATATTTCCATATATAAACTATGAATTTTTAGAACTTTTCTAAAGCTAAATTTATGGGGGCCAGCTTATATATGGATCAACTTGCAAAAATGTAGATGCTTTTCCATTAGCTGGACTCAAGCAATAAATCCCCATATATAGTACTTTTTTTATTTATTTAGTTTATACTATTTTTTAAGTTAATGAAAAAATCATTTTAAAATAAATGAGTTATTTGTTTTGTTTTTGAAATTGTTCATAGTGTTGGTTTGTTGTGTCAATGCTTAACATGAAAAATCTGATATTCATGAAATTTGCAGCCTGCTAACAAAAAACGACCACATGCTCTCGTTTTTGCTTCTGACGTCTCTGCTAATTCAGGAAAATTTTTTTCCCTTCACTCCAGAACTTGTTTTTTATCCAAGAAAAAGTGCCGAGCAGCCCTATTGTTAACATTTTCAGCCAATGCGATCATCTGCAGTTTGAAAATCTGCTGCATACAAATTTCTCTTCCCACTCATCTTCCAGACAAAAAGTAAAATGGCACAGAAAATAAGACAAGCACAGATACCACAAATCGTATACAAGATAAATAAATTAATGGAAAAAAGTGTGCACTGTTTCATGAGATAATATTTCTCCATAGCTATTCAGTTAAGTGATGAGAAAAGATATCCACAAAAACAGCAATGGAATTTAACTAATTTAACTAATTTAACATGAATAAAACTAGGAACATACAAATAAGCAATTTCACAGCATTTTAATTTCGAAAATGCAGAAGTTTGTTTATGAGCTGCTCTTAATACAAAAGTTTCTTCGTGACCAATGTTTTACACTTAATCTTTATATTGGAAGAGAATCCCTCACTGGAAGACAACTTCTCAGTAGAAAATTTTAAATTAAGCAAAACAGCAACCTTGGGGGTGAAACTTGGGGAATTTTGAAGAATTCTTTTTACTCTTGAAAAAGAGGGACATATGTCTGATTAGTCTCAAAATTATCACAGAATTATTAATAATCTACATCAAATTAGGTAGTGTTTTTCTTTCCCTTTCTTTTTTGCCCAGTTTGAAATGACTCATTAAAATTGAAAATAAGCTTTTTTTGCAACATTTCTGTGGCATTTTGAAATTTTTTTTATCAATTGTGAAAGTATTTGGCGTTTTACTTCAGTTTAAAAAATTCATTACGAAGATCATATAACTGAATCATTGATCATAATAAATGAGTATTCCGCCTTTTTTTTTTATTTTTTTTATGACAGGGCTGGACTTCAGCAACTGCACAGCAATAAACCTCAGCAACTAAGCCTTTCACAATCATCAAGATAAGATTACTTAAAGGAAAAATGTACGAAAATTATATACATAGTTTCATCCACCAAGGAAGTTGTCAGGAATTTATCCAAGTGCGTTCCTATTAGTATTTCATTGCATAAATCAGTCTGTTACTAATGGATCAGTGTTCAGTAAAGGAATGTTTAATCAACGCAGTCACTTATTCAATCTTAGGGACAATCTTAGCCTTCCTCTTTTTTTTAAGAGCTAAACCATATTCCTCAACATAACTGAATAGTAACAGCCACAAAATTTTTATCAGCTACCTTCAGAATAGTAGTTTTATCACAGGGTGAATTTCTGTGAATTTATGAGATTTTCTAACATTCTGTGAATATTAAAACTTTTCTGAGAATGACAAATGAATCTTTGATTTTCGGATCGACTGAATTGTTGGCCACAGTAAGCAATGCAGTTTCTCTATTCTCATATATGACAAAGTGGGGTTTTAGCAATTGAATAACAACATCTGAATGATAGCATTAACTGTGATTGCATTAGGTAGCATCTACTGTAGCTTCAAATCAGGTTACTAGAGTTGAAATTAACATCGTTGGCATCTGGTGTTTTATTTAAACTTTGATTTTATTGGAAAATATTCCTACCCCCTTATCTGCTTGGCAACATTTTTGCCCTCATGGTTCCATGTTTGAACATTATGGGATTCCCCCCCCCTTTGGGTTACATAAGGTTTTTGAATTTTGGATAAATTTTTGAAGAAAAAATGCACTCTCAGCTTATATTTGGAAACATACAGTACATCAAAATTTCCGATTCTTAAATTAACAGTACTGTTAAATGTATGACCAATATTTTCCATAGCAAAGCATTTTTACACATAATTTATACAATTTTAAACATTACCAAAAAGTCATTCTATTTAAAAGTTTTTAAAAAATATCTACATGTTAAAAAAATATAAACGAAGAAAAAATTCTAACAAAAAATGCAAGGCTTTATGCATAGATATTTAAATTCGTTATATATATGCAAAAAATACTTCATAAATACATGCATACACTGTATTTTATAAATACACACATAAAATACATACACTGAACTGTACATTTCTTTTATCTTTGTGATGAATTTTACATTTACTGAGTATGCGCAAGTTCTTGCATTTTTCAATGAAAACGTTTTGTTATACTGGCTTTTAATATGAATATATTCCCCATCATTGTTTATAAATTGTAGTCTCTTGAGTAGCTTTACCATCCACCCTTCTCCTGCAAAACTCTTTTTTTTTGTAGTGGAAGAGGTTTTGTAGTTCACAGCAATAATTTCTACACTGCAGAAGAAAGATTCCACTAAACATATCACAACAGAAGTATCCAAACTCTTGTAACTTTTATGAATCCAAACAAATGTGTAGGTCTTGCCAATGTCATGATGAAATACCACTCCTTGACAGTTTAAAAGCAAAGATTATTTTTTTTAAGAAAATGTAGGAGGCAAGGTTCAGCTACAGGCAGAATATCTCTGTATTTAGTACTTAATCTGTGGGAGAAAGCTCCTAACAGATAACTCCTCTAAAACCCTACTGGACACTTAGATGGATCGTCTGTAAACTCAATAATTGTTTTACAGAAAATTCCAGATATTTACTATGCCCACAAACAATCTAAAAATGCCCGACATTCTTATACAGAATCCAATCCCCCCCCCCCCCGATATTCTTTGATGCAAAAGTCCAGACGCGTTCTGCCAGTTAAAGTTGGGCGCAATTAATTCACAATGCCCCATCTTCCCTAAAAAATTATGAAGACAAATTTACTATGAATCCCAAGATATGAAAATCACTTTTCAAAAGATGTCTTGTGAACGTCTCCTTCTGCCACAATAATCTTGTCACATTTTCAATGACTTCCAGGGAGCTTTTATCTTCCAATTCCTGAGCCTCCCTGATCCTTCTGGCCTTTAAACTACCTTGCACTTTCACAGAAGCATAGAAATCAACACTGGCATGTGCACTCCCATGACAGTATTATAGCCACATATAATTAATTCTACATGCTTCTATGCACTACGCCCTTAATTATATTCAAATGGATGTATGGAAGAATATATCTGATATGTTTCTTTTAAACCTTAACTTTTCTTTCCTTAGAAGTAACAAGCAACGCCAATAATAGCCACATTCATTTGACAAAACACTAATAATACCACTAATAATACCCTACGACCAAACAAATAAATAAAAAGGTTTCCCTAGGTCAAAAGCGTTACCCCAATAAAAAGCACTTTTATACATACCCAAAATTTCATTATTTACAGCCTCCATTACTTTTTTTTTTTTTTACTTGCTTCTTCTCTTATAACTAGCAACTCGGATGCAAACAGAAATCCATTAAAAAATGCAAAGTTTTGGAAGTTAAAAGCTAAAGCATTAAAATTCATATTATCTATTATGTTATTGGGTTGGTAAGAAGCCAAAAAAGAAAACTATGTATTTTGTGTAGATTTATTTTAAATACACACAAATACTGCAGTAATTTAGTTTTACTCTGAAAACATTCAGAAAACGTGAACAATATTTCACATACTTATTTCAACACATGAACAATATCTTATTTTTACTCATTTATTTCTAAGAGAAGAAAGAGACAGAGATTGAAAACATTTTCATCCAGCATTTTTCAAATGTTTTCAATATCACAAAAATGGCAAGGCAAGTTTTCATTTTACACAATTAGGGTAAATTTTTAAAAACCTGATTAACAAGTTTCAGAAAATTTAATATCTTCACATAAATTTTTCTTTAACATGATGAAAAATACATTTATTAATCACTTACTTTTAAACAGAAACTGTATGATGTTGGAGTAGTATTGCTTCTATTTTCAATAGGTGTATAAATCTCATACTCTTTGAGATCCCGAAATGGCCACAGTGGTTGTTGTTGCTTAGTATCCTATTCCAACAAGCACATAATTAAAAATTCTATTTAACGTGTATGGTTTAAAGCAAATACTTATTTACAAAATATATAATACAACTGTTAAATTTACTCGATTTTATATACAATGGAATACTGACAATTTTAAATTTGCCAATGCCTGAAATCTGTGTATCCTGTCAGATATCCACAGCAAAATGCAAATTTAGGATATCAACTGGCAATGGGATTCTTCATTCCGTATTGAAACAAGTTACCATATTCTGCTGAACTTTGCTTTTAGATCTGACACAAAATAAACATTTTCCAAGAAGTGGCAAATTTAAAACTAGCACATAATTAAAAATTCTATTTAACATGTATGGTTTAAAGCAAATACTTATTTACAAAATATATAATACAACTGTTAAATTTACTCGATTTTATATACAATGGAATACTGACAATTTTAAATTTGCCAATGCCTGAAATCTGTGTAGCCTGTCAGATATCCACAGCAAAATGCAAATTTAGGATATCAACTGGCAATGGGATTCTTCATTCCGTATTGAAACAAGTTACCATATTCTGCTGATCCTTGCTTTTAGATCTGACACAAAATAAACATTTTCCAAGAAGTGGCAAATTTACATACAATTGAAGTAAACTGTTTTAAATGAGTAAGTTTGCTATAAATGCAATTTTGGTAGTTTTTTATTACTGCAGCAGCAGCCCAAATATATGCAAGTGCACTACTGCATGATTTGCGCCAAACATTGTGATTCAACATGTTTTGATCCAAACAGATTCTTCATGTAAGCTTTGATGAAGAAAACAAGACGAATTTCACTATTTTGCAATCGTCAAATGTTGAAGTTTCTGCCACTGAATTCTCGCTTCCCCAACAAAAAAAAGTCATCCATAATGAATGATTTTAATCAAATAACCATGATTATATTTTTATCAACAATGGGGTTGAATGAATTTAAAGTTACCTTTATATTTCAGGATACATGTTTCTGAGTCAACATGTTTGTTTAGCTGTTGCCCCATTATACAAGAAGTTAAAGAATTTTTAAGTTTCATCATAAGTGCAATTTTAGAGTACTTTTTTATTATCAGAATAGGAATTTCTAAATAACTTCATGATCTTCCTGCATGTGTTAATAATGAAAATGAATTTAGGACAAAAAATTATACAAGTGGATTAGACAGTATGTGATTTGAGGGGAAGGTAACTCAAACTAACTAGATTACACTAAAATTTTAAAGCAAACTACTGTAAATGAATGTTTGAAAAAAAATTTAAAAAAAGATTGTTAAAAAAGAATTTTGTATGCTTTTCAACCTTATTTTCTTTTTACGTTTTTTTTTTTTTTTTTTTTTCTTTTTTTTTTTAAATTTCTTCATGAAAAAAATCAAAAAGAAATTAATTGCTTTTATTTACTTTTTAAAATTTATGTATTCATTTTCATGCTAGTCTAAATATACTAGCTTTTATTTTATTTGAAATCCAAAACCTTTAAAATCCACAATCTTTAACATTGAAGATTTTTTTTATCTTCTACTTATATTAACAGAAAAAAACTTATATCAACTGAAGGCTCTCATGGAAGTATTTACCTTTTCAAAATTTAGTTTATATGATGATTCAAGACCGAATACAGAAGAATTAAAAGAGGTTAATATACCTTACTAGAATATGAAGCAGAAGAAACACAAAGAGTAGAGCCTTCAATTCGGAAGAACAGCCTTTTCCAAGAATCCTTACCAGGTTCTTTACACCACAAAAGACTTTGCACTACAGGTGACTTTTCCCCATTACTTAGTATGTTCTGAAAAGAAATGGATTAAAAAAACTTTAAAATATTGCAACCTTTCCTTTCCAATCATCAAAATGTTACTTAAAAATTTCTTTTTCATGAGAAGCAGTCTTTTAAACTTATAACAATCAAACTAAATGTATTTTGTTCTAATTTATATTCATTCCTAAGGTTATTTAAAACCTAAAAAGATATCTGTAGCCTTTCTTAGAGCAGCTAGAATTCAACAAAATTTTTCGTCCAACTTACCTTTCCATGGCATTTTTACCCAAAACTTTACTTACAAATTATACAATTTTTGGTTAGTTGGGTATTAGCTAGTAGTCTTCAATAAACTGCAAGCAGTACCTTACATAACTCTTTTCCTGCAAATACTTCAAATTTTGAGGAAATTCCACATTCTTTTAAGAAAGATTTAAAAAAAAAAAAAAAATCCCCCCCCCCAATTATATCTTAGGGAGGAAGAGGAGAAGACAGCTGATAAAAATGACCTCCTTTTTTTTTTTTTTTTTTCCACCATCAGATCAATCAAAGAAAGTATGTATTTGCATTATGTCATTTGTCTGATAACCTTTTTTCAGCAAAAATTCTTGGAAGAGTATTTGTCTCATATTATTTTTTACTGCTTTCTGCATCCTTAATTTATTATCAAATTTGCTGAGAAATGAAGCAAAAGCAAGGAACAATTTCCATGCATGTGCTATTTTGCTCCCTTCTCCTCATAAAAATCATGACAGTCCCAATTCTAATGTAATGAAACTGCACACAGCAGAAATTGTACAATGGAAATACAGTATCAACAACTGCAAAGTTTATGAGTTAGAGATTGGTTTCAAGAAAATCACCTCTCTTCTTATTTAGTAGAATTTATGTAGAAACAGACCCAAATGGCAAAGAATAATACTTTATTTGATATAATTTTGAATGTAACTGCCAAGCAATTTCCATCAGAAATTAATATATATATACATAACTCAGTGCTGACATCAAAAATATATTTCATCACCAAAAGGACCCAACAGATTATTGGTAGCATATTGGCTGGTGCTCACTAACACCCAAATAACCAATTTCTGAAACATTGAACAAAAATGCATATATTTTTTGCAGCAATATTGTATTTGCATACTTTTAGCTAATTAATTAAAAATATAAATTAAAATAGTAATTTTCTATTTATGATTTTCTCCTAGAAAAGAAAGTGTAAATCTACTTCTAGTTAAAATTAGGAAATGTTAAAATTTAAGAAGACAGCGATAAACCTATTAAAAACTTTTAATAAACTTAAAAGAAGTCTAGTATTTGTGTTGGTATGCCTCAAATACATACATTTAAAAATAAAATATAAAGAAAAAGAATAATACATACATGAAAAATAAGGTAGAACAATAGATTACATAAAAAAATAAATAAATTACTGCTGATTTCTCAGAAGACTACTACTAACTTATCAAAGAGAATGAAGCCTCCCCCACAAAATCAGCAATAATTTGGGCATGACTTTATTTCGTCTCCCTTATATGTCTGAATAAACCATTAATCACAAAAGACTAATATATAAAATTTGAAAATAAATTAATTACTCAAGCACGAAGATAATTCCCCAATATGATCAAATAAGAACATATACACAAAAAGAGACTATTATAAAAACTGTGGGATATTTAGAAGTATCAATTAAAAATCTGCAATGAATGTAAGTGTAAGAATACTATACAATTAAGACTATTACATAATTTTGACACAATTATATGCATGTAAAAAAATATAAAGGCAAAAAAATATTACTCCTTACAGTTTAAATTCTACAGCTGCTGTTGTGAATCTTTTAAGTGAAAAGATTGGATGGAGATGTGTGTGTGTCTATAGGAAAAGCAAATATGCATATACTATAAATTCTTAATTTTAATTAAAAACACCCTCTCTTCAAGAATATGTATTGCACCATTTTGCATCATCATGTCTCAGCACTGCAAAAACTATTGCCCAGTAGCTGCTTTAGACTGAAACAAAAAATTCAAGCCCTTAAATACTACAGCTACATCATTCCCCCCCCCTGCTTCTACAGAAGCATGTAATTAACTGCTTGGCCACATAATCAACTGCTAACTTGCTAACATGTAATCAACTGTTGTCACAATATGATTTGCTTATTTAAAATTGTGGGTGCAAATTGAACCATCTGCAGCATGTACTTACAACGAATTGTTTATGTCCTGAAAACAAAATTGAATACTTAATTTTCATGCTGATTACAGCTGTGTTACTATACATTGTTATGCCATCACAATAGTTACTACTTTTAGCACAAAAAGGGGAAATACTAAAATTAAAACAAAGAATTAAAGAGCTTTCACCAATTAAAATTAGAAGTTTGCTTTCATATTTTTAATCTTACAGTCAATAAGAAAATATACTTATCTCTTTGTTGACTACAAAAACACAGTAAAAGCTCTCATGGCAACCAAATCCCTAAAATTATTATCTCCAAAATTCAACATATGTCTAAAAACATAAATAAATACTGATATTGAGAATCCCTTATTTAGAAGATCTTTTCCACATTAAGTAAACTTAACTGAACATTTGCTGTATACTTTGCTATGAGTATTCACTCCATAATAGAGTCTGCTTCCTCTTTTTCCCCGATTTGTTTTTGAGAAGTGGCAACCAGAGGAAATAAGAATCTAACTCTTGAAAAACAGAATAAACATTTGGTTAGTTTTGATGTTTGTAATAATTGTACCAACAATTTTTAGTGTAAATCATAAAAGTTCTATCTACGGTAAAAATCCACATATTAATTTTCGAATCATTTTGCATCTTTCAGAGTTCATGCTCTCCCAATCTTATTCAATTTATGATGTGAACTGTTTCATACCCTTTGACAATTAATTTTTAAGTATACATTGCTAATACACCACTGAATAAGTACACATATTTTTATATCACAATATTTTACTTTTTGACGACTGTCTGGTGTCTAACAAAAGCATAAGGGCAAAGTTCAAATACTATTACCTGCAGAGTGACAAATTTTGCCAAATCTGGTGATTCAGATAAACAGTCCAATGGAACAGATCCCAGATCCAGCATAGACAGAGGAAAAAATTGCTATAAGAAAAGAAATACAGTCTTATTTATATATCTTCATGCAGGAAGAAAAATTATTTAATGTCAATTAATTTATAAAGTCAATTCATTACAGTTTCAATTTGACTGGTTATATTATTATTCTACTTTCAAAAGTATTTTTTAAATTTCAGAACATAAAAATATTAATTACCTGTGGTGTACGAAAAAATTCATATTTACAAAAGTCCTGTTTGAAAAGAAATTTGTTCCCACTTCCAGAGCCTTCTTTTTGGTGATTCCATAATGCATATACCTGTAGAATATCTTCATGGTCTTCTAAACTGCGTTCTGGGAGAGAGCAGAATATATTTCTTTAGATGGATAGATTTTAAAAAGCAATAAAACAAATTAATGATATTTGATTTAAAGAGAGAAACATGTAATCAGTCTAGAAATATTTTGGACTGATGTTATTTCTCTCCACATGGCAATGTTACAGTGATGCTGAAAGATGAAAGACACAGCCATACAGTTCTTTATCTTCCATGCAAGTTTTATTTTTGCAAGATATGTGTACTGCAAAAAAAAAAAAAAAAAAAAAAAAAAAAAAAAAAAAAAAAAAAAAAAAAAAAAAAAAAAAAAAAACCTTTTTTTTTCATATAAAAATGTTTTCATGTACAATCAAAACAAAGAGAAACATATTAATGGACTTAAAGTGAAATTTATCAGCAAATTTAGGAAAAACTGAACCAGAGTGACAGCCAGTATGAAGAATCACTGATATAGTCATGAGTGCAATTTAAGCAGATTGGATGTTTCTAAGAAGCGTGAGAAGACATAGGATAATGTGACAGCAGATCTCCCAACATCACTCATCGATGAAAGACTGTTTACATACTGTCTTGTGTAGAGCATGATTGACTATAAACTGTTAGTATGTTTGTGATTGTTAGTATGATTGTGCAACAGTTAAATTTAAGGAAAATGGCTTGTACAGTGCGGAAAAAAAAGGGGGGAACAGTTCTATATCTCCCGTTCTACTGGGCCGATTGGCAACATTCAAATTGTGTTTTTCATGTCTTGAAAGCGTGACTTAGGATATATATTAGATTTATACATAGCACTATCCTAACATAGGTATTTTGACACGAAATTGGACTTTTTCTGACATAACATACCAATTTTTTTCCATTTTTCGATTCTACAACTTAAATTATGACAGATTGCCAAGTTTTGTAAAAAATACTACGAGTAGCCTTTTAAAAATTAGCTCTCAAAATTTTAGCTCCTCAATGTTAATTGAATTTGGCATATATTTATTAATATCTCTTTTTTGATTTTCCCTTTCATATTTCGAAATTTAGGTTCATTCCAAATATAATTCACCCATTTTTTGTTTTATTTTTTAAATTTCTATTTTTAAAAATTTTTACAAATTTTTCAAAAACATTTTGAATTATAACCTACAAAATTTTTACCATCATGTTAAAGTAGGTGTAGTTCTAAGCATACAAAAAATTAGAATTTTTTATTCAAAATTTTCTAAGATATACACGAATTTACATATTTTCAAGTTTTGAAATTTCGCATCTTTTTTTGATGGATGATAATGCCAAATGTGGTTTATGGATTTTTGTTGCAGTGAATTGCCACAGCTATTTTTAACCTTACATTTCAAACAAATTTTTATGGAGAATTAATTTTATGAAACTTTTCCCCTCAATGATGCGTAATAAATATTTATTAATACTATATGAAAAGTTATTTTTTTTAATTATAGAAGATATTATTCAAATTTTTAACTTTTTTTAAATTTCTTTTCTTTCTTTCCTTTTTTTTTAAAAATATTTTGTGAAAGTAAATTTTTACCTTTCGCCGTGTTATCAGGTCTGCTACTTTACTTTGACTGCATTTAAAATTGAATTATCTAAAACTGAGAAAGTTCGTTTGATATTTCTTTTCATAATGTTTTTAAGCAAACAGGACGTTGAACAGTTTGGGGGGGGTCATATCCCAGCTTTAAAAATTAATATATACAAGTATAAATTTTTACATTAATACTCTTCGAGAGAATGATTTAAGTAGCTAATTTTCTCTCGTGTTATAGATTGTATAAAAACATGATCTTTAATATGATTTAGATTGTTTATAGCTGATATAATAATTGGGTTACTCAGTGGTACAGATTAAACACTGCTGGACTGTTTTATTTCTTTGTCATTCAGCAAAAAATCTTTTAATTAAAATATTTATCCTTTGGCCTTTCCTTTAAACTTCACTTATAGTTAAAATGCCTAGAAAATAAAAAGCTGTCTGCAACTGAAACGCAGTTGATGTAATTGATATTTTAAAAAAATTGACAAGAATGCAAAATTTATGGAAGTGCAACAATCGAACAATCTTAATTTTCTTTTGGTGAGCACTGAAAATAAATGTAGAAGGAAAGAAGAAAATAAGGGAGAAAAGTAAGCAATAATTTGAAGGGGAAATTTGGCTGTCAGAAATACCAAGATGTTTCGAAAAGTTGGATGCTTTTGAATATACTTTCAGAATATTTCAAGGAATTTGGATGTTCAAAGAGAAAACACTTGGATGTGTACACCAGCAAATACTACCAATTGAGCTTATGCTAACGGAAAAGACAAAAATGATATCATTGCAGATTAAAGTGAAGAGTGACTGGTTTTCGACTATATGTTTGTAAAAATTCAAATTACTTCACAGAACATCATATCATCGTAAATGGAGCACCCCATGGTTTTTTAGTCGAATTATTTGATTATTCAGGAATTTATCCAGTGATGTAGTGTAATTTCTGGAAGAAAGGCCGCATTAGCATAAACGCCGCACTCGAGAAAAATGGCGGGAAAAAAATTTAAATTACACAGAAACGCCGCAATAGATTAAATTGCGCATGACATCGTCGTGGGCCGTATAGATGCAAAAACTCAACCTAAGTCCCTGATATATGACATACCAGTTAGAAAAATGCATGAAATGAAATCATAACTCAAAAATAATTAAAGGTAAGAATGTGGAAAATATATTTACCTTCATGTATATACTTATATTTACCCACTAAGAAGTCCAATTTTTAAATACTCAGACTATATTATAAAAAATGTTGCAACACGAAATATTAAATTTGGATGACAAAAGGAAATTTTAAATTTACTTACAAAGGGAAATACAGCAAGCTATGCATCATATAAAAGCCATCAAAATCCGATTCTTCACTATCTGAATTAAAAAGATTTAGAAAATCTTGATCTAAGTCCAATCTTTTTCCAGATCGTCACATTTCATTCTCTTTGGTTTACAGTCTCTTTATCTGAGATATAATTTCAGCTTCTTTTGAACCCTGCTTACTATTGACGATGTTTCTACCGATTCCACGCACTTCCTGCCCACTTTGCAATTCTTCATAAGATGCTCTATGCCTTTTACCGCTTTGGTTTTACGTATGCAATCCTTCACTCATCCAACACTCCACCGCTTTTCGGACTTCAGCCTTTGAAATATTTATTACTTGATAAATCTAACGGTTGTAAGATTTTGTCAAACTACCAGAAATTATTGCTTCGGTCATAGAAAATTTTTGACATCTGGTTTTCACTGGACTCAAAGAAATGAGCCACGCATGGAAATCCATTACCATAAACCCCTTTGGTTGGAAAAAAGATCCCACAACGACTGCCAAACTTTTTGTAGCCACTCATGCATGATTGTTTCGCACATCTAGCTGTTCTCGTTTGCACAAATAATTACGTCATTAGGAAAATCTCCCTTCGGAATAGTCTTTCGTTTAAAAATGATCATCGGCTTTAGCTTTAGTTTTAGTTTAGTTTGCGGCACAAGCTAACACACATGTAAATGACGTTCTTTCATGCCCCGTCATAAACACTGATACAGTTTTTGCACCAGTTTCATCAACAGTTTGCAGGAGAGTCGAAAGCTAACGGCATTTCATCCATATTTATTATCTGCGACCGAAGAAGTTTTTTTGTCAATAATAGCTGTCACATATTTTAGAAAAGATGACTTTTTATCCTGCCAGTCCATTGGTAATTGTTGCCCGACTGTTGTTCTAGTACGCACAGAAATAATTTTTTCTTTTCATAAATCTGCTACACCTCCTTTGAAATCATTTATGTTCCATCGTTTTGCTATAAATTTTTGCTTGTAAGCGAATTTTTACAGTCGAAATTGCCATTCCCTTTCCTCGTTGCTCCTGTATCCAGTTTGCAAGGTCATCCTCTAGATTTGGCCACCTTACAGTACCACTTCTTTTGGCTCGTTTCTGTTGTGGCATATTTTTAAGAAGTTCTTTTTCAGTTCTCCAACGTCGAATACATCTGTCGTCCACTTCAAACTCTCAAGGTGCTGCTCGATTTCCAATTTGTTCAGCACGTGAAATTACATTAAGCTTAAAACCAGCAGTATAGCTTCTGTGCCGTTCAGGGACATTTTCAAAAATTTTCCCCTCCCTTCTCACTTAAAAACTATACAACAAGTACTTGTACCCAAACTGATGGGATCTGTATCTGGCAGAATGCCAAGAAAAATCCATTCATGCTGAAGGGGAAATATGTCAGAGTTCGTTATTGCGAGGCAGATGGAGTCGTGTCCGACTTTGAAAAAAATTTCAGAAAAGGCAGGGGTGGGGAGAGGATGGGTCCTGGAAGATTCATCAAGTGGCAGAGGAAAGAGACTATTCGAAATGATGAGAATGTTGATTTGAAAGGGGGAAGAATGTTATTGTTCTGAGATCTCGTTTAGGGTGAATAAGGCATGTAGATCCGTTCAAGGGAAAGAATGTAAACAAAATAACGTTCGCAAAAAGCAACTGCATGGTCTTTTGTGTGGGAACAGCACCAGTCTATGCACAATGACAAGGCCATCCACACTATGTACAATGACCATCATAGGAAATATTTTATTTTTAGGGAAACCAATTGGCATAGACATTACAATAAGAAAAACCACGAAAATGCCCATGCAACCAGCCTGTTTGTCGGGATTCGAACCCCGGAGAGAACTACCAGAGTTTAGCGGCTTTGCCGCTCGGCCATTTGTGGGCCTTTATGAAATGGAAGGCGATAACTTTATTAAAATGAATGTCAGAAATACCAAGATGTTTCGAAAAGTTGGATGCTTTTTAATAACTTGCAGAATGCCATAACCCCTTAAGGACCAGCATTGAGAAAACGAAGCGCAGTCATGGGACCGGACCTGCTGAAATGAATCGCCACCAGCATTTTCAGCAGTTAAGCCTAATTTAACAAGAAAAATCATATAAAATCACCATTTTAATATTATGACTTCAATTTTTGAAGTTGCATATTTAATGCACTTGTTTTTAATGTGTATTAATATAAAGAATATCACATTAATAGAAATAAATTAAACAGGCAAAATACTAAAATCATACACACACAGAAATAAGTACAGTCAAAAAGTCTTTAATCCAGATGTCCATAATCTGGACCTCAAAGCTACAAACTTTCTGTGCATGTGTAAACGCATAATGCATCAATGCATGCGCATAATACGTTTACACATGCACGTTTAATGTATAAAGGACGGTATAAGCTAAGCTAAAAGTATCTATTTCAGTTAATGTTGCAGATTGCGTTGTTCCTTAATCTTCGAATTGGACCCGGCTTATTATTTTTTGCAGACTGTTAGAGCAATTTTATAAAAGTAAGCTTGAACTTTCGATTATGTCAAAACGAATTTCCGATCCTGGAGCTGCCAAAGGATCTACAAAGCAAAAGCATGTTTCGATGCCCATCAAACAAAAAAGTGGAATTGCTGCAAAAAAATGGATAAAGGCATATCCTTTGTTTCTCTAACCATTCCGAAATATGTTTATCAATTTGACGCCGCTCTGCGGGAAGGGGCGGGAACGTCATGGCGTGCAATGAACTGGAAGTTCATCTATCAGCACTATCCTCATCTTCAAGGTAGATGTTTTTATTTTATTCGGCTTATAATTCCTTACTAAATGTAGTATTTCATCTCGATGTACTCCGTCTTTGATATGATTTAAATCAAATTCCTCGTCATTATAAATATCACGAATACACATCAAATAGCTTTCTGGTTGCAATTTTCTAATTTCAACTATGCGTAATGCATGCTTTACGCATGCGCGCATTGAAAGAAATGTTTAATAAAGTAAAACAAATAAATATTACGCTTTTTTTGTAAATTTTGATACCCTTTAGATTATAATTGCTCTTTATTTCATAAATTACGGTTTCATATTTTTAATTTTATAATTTCTGCATGCCATCTTACCAGATTTAAACCATTGATCTATAATCTGGAAAAACTGATAATCCAATAATCCAGAATCACTAAAATATGATAACATTTTAAGAAACTAAATGTAGGATGATAAACTTGTGTAAAGCAATGAGCACAATGTTAAAGCTATTTAAAGCAATATATGCAAGTCTTCCAAGTTAAAATGTCGGTTATATATCTTTCTAATTTATATATCTTTTCTAAACAGAACATTGGTGTGTTAACTGAGCTTTACTGTATTTTCTCTTTTAATATATTCAGTTTTCAGATGTATCGTAGTCTGGGACACAAAGTATTCTTCCGAAGGAAACACAATTCAAATTAATAAATGGAAAATTTATATTAATAAATATATTTAAAATGCTCAATTCGAATGAATAAATAGAAATTTTTAAAACAATTATCTAAAAAGACAATGCAACACAATTAAAATAAAAGTCTAAAAATTAAAAAATTACCAAGAACTATGAAAAAAAATTATAAAGAAAACTGTTTGAAAAAATAAATGATACATCTTTCATTTAAACTACACAGTTTGAATGGATAAATAGAAGTTTTTAAAACAGTTATTCGAAAGAAACCATTCAACTTAAACAATTAAAATGAAATTCGAAAAAGAAAAAATTACTTAAAATAATAACAATCATAATTTAAAATATAATACAAAGAACATTATTTGAAAAAAGAAACAACTGTGACTTTTTTCCCGCTCACTCGACAGGAAAATAGGTTGCCATATATTAAGAAGTTCGCTAAGTGTAATATTCTTGGCACAAAATGAAAAAAAAGTGCCAACATAAATTTGTGAATTTCTCCGTAAATTTCGCACCAAAATTTACAAAGTTTCATAGTTGGGCATCATTTGAATCCTAGAATCGAAATATGGGAAAAAATTGGTATGTTATTTCAGAAAAGTCAGATTTTGTGCCAGAAAACCTATGTTATAATAGTGTTATATAGAACTGAACCCCCCTTTTTTTTTGGCGCAGTGTACATCTGTGGTGCATGGGGAGACTCTATGTGTTCAAAATAATAATAATAATAACAATAATAAAAAATATATAATTAAATAAATAAATTTTTTTTGTGTGACTAAATTTGATCAAGAAATTACAAATGAGAAAACTGTGAATGAAGATCATCCTAAAATGTCTGAGTGGTGGGGAAAAAAAATCGAACTGAAGATACGCACTTTTGACTAATGAAATAACAATTTTATTGACAAGATAAATTACAGACAATTGGCTTACAAATATAATTTGACATTGAAGTTACACAACAAAGAGCAGAGAATTAACTATAAATACTAGAATCTGAAAGCAGTAGATCAAAGACCCAACTTCAAAGTCATGGAACTTCGCACAATTCATCCTATAAGGGCAGTTCCTGAATGTAGCTTACTGTGACATATGCGACTATCATTGGTGGAAGGAAGCAGAAGGATTTACATCATAATAATGTGCTATTACTAACAGCATCAGTTGTTCATATATTACTAGCCTATAATTTAATCACCGTACTCAAACAGCCTTTTCATTTACCAGATTTAGTAGCCCCTGTGATTTTTTTTTTTTTTTTTTCTCTTGAAACTCGAAATAGAGTTGCACAGGCATCATTTTAGAAATATAAAAAGATCAAGACAGAAATGATAAAGCAGTTGAACGACGTATCAGAAACAAACATGCAGCATTGATTTTAACAATGAAAACTATGCTAGAAAGAGGCATTTATAGCAAAAGGAACTATTTCGAAGGTGATAGGTTGATACATTTTAAAAAGTCAAATAAGAGTTTTTAGGCACCTTGTTCATAAATTTCCCAGCTAGACTGTAACAAAAAAAGCAAACATTAAACAAAAGAACAATACTTTGGAAAAACATGCAGAAGAATTTTTTATTTTTTTATTTACTAGCACTATATATATTTCTTTTAGATAATAATGCAAAACACTTTACACAGCTAAGTTTATTTTTTTTTAAAGTGTAATTAAATATGTACTTGCAAGATGAATAGGCTTAATAGCTTGCTAAACATCTGTGTGTCACTTAAAAATTAAATATTCATCTACCAATTTTTAATTAAACTTCTATCATAATTTCCTAGTCTAAAAAGTGAACTTTTTTTTTTAATTTTATTCATGTAATTTATATTGCACTACGGTATTTTATTGATAATCTATGCTTTTAAAAATAATGCTAGGAACTGTAAATTCAGTCGTTTCTTAAACTCCTTGTTAAATGTTCCCTCTGCTATAAAATTTGAAGAATAGGAATAAAGAAATCAAAGAAATCCAACACCATTTCTGCCAAAATTTAGGGTGCTAAATTTATATATATCCCATGAATATTTTATCTTTTTTATTTCACAAGCTATTATAGTATATATAACCAGCAAAGAATGAGTCTCACCTATTCCAAGTGATGTCAGCTGTTCAATAAGAGTCCATGTATGAGATCTGGCAACGTTGAATTTGAGAGCAAGAAGCTGACATAAATCCAACACCCTCAGATTTTCCTCAACCACAAGTCGCTGTTGACTACCATCTTCAGTATAAAAAGTTAATGTCACCTAAAATAAAATTAGAAAAAGAAGAATGAAACATTTTCTTCCAAATAATTATTAAACAACTTGTGCAATTATACCAGTGTTAAAGCAGCAAATTTTCTTTAAAATCACTTTATTGGCACACAATTAATTTTGAAAGCATTGCAGACATATACATTAGAAATTGATCAAAGCGTGCAAAAAAATATATTGCCAGATGAAATGCCTGAAATGCTCCTATTTACAAAAGAAATAAACAGCCAATAGTAGATATTTTCTAATCAATATCATCAATTCCTTGTAATATTAACTTGTCAATGAAAACTCACTATGCCCAAAATATCCTTTTAAAAAATTAACTATGTTTGGGAATGTGAAGTTTCTAAAAAAGCATGTTTTGATGATATTGCACATTGCATATCATCAAACTAAGTTACTGAATACAGCACTGCAAATCAAACTAAAAACTTGCAGTTCGAAAATTTAAAATAATAAAATTATTATTATTATTGAATAAGTGTAGTGATGTTTAAAAAACAGTATCATCTTTTTTTCATAAACTAATCTAAAAAAAATTAATAACAGCAGTATACTATACCTATTTTTGAGCCAGAACCAAGATTTTCAGTACTGTTCTTAAATGTAAATTTAAACCTCATCAAACATTCAAAAGCAATTGCGCTTTCATATAAAAGGGCAAATATTTAAATCTGATTTCAATTTTTTAAGCAATAATGTTTTTAATATTTCATAATTTGTTGATGAACATACGACAGTGAATGAAAAAAGTAATTGCTAATTCCATGTCACACTTACAGTAATACTACTCAAATAACTTAACATTCTTTAGTCCTTCAGAAAAAAAGTTTTTGATCTTCTCCTGATCTTTAGACTGATATTTTGCAAATTAGTAAACTCCTTTGGAACCCATCTTGCACAAACTTCACAACACTCGTCACTGTGCACTATAGCTTGTGAAGAGTATTTATTCTAAGCATGCAGACAATTTTGATAGTTTTTGCCAGTTTTTTGCTGATTAAAGTGGCTGTTCTCTTGACATAAGTTATTGTATCAACAAAAATGATGGTTGACCATATGGATTTTCAGCAGTTACACTATTTTTCTAGCTCAGGGATTACCAATTTTTCATGCATGCCTTTTAAAAGAATGACTTGTTTCATTGGCCCCCTTATACTTTTTGGATAATAGTATACAGCACAATCATAATACAAAAAATGCACATCAATAGTTTTTAGATAACAATTACACTAAGTATGGAAACAAAAGTTTTGAAATAATTATTTATTAGATTTATCTTTTATTATACTCTGCATTAAAATTTCTTTTAATTTTATAGGTATAAGAAGATTTTTGGACACAAAATCAGAGGTTCTAACTGCACTAAAAGTTTGATTTTAATTAATGTGATTGAGATTTGTGATGGCTATGCTCATGTATTTTTAAAATTGCTTAATTCTTAAATCAGCTCATTTAAAAATATTAAACCTGTTTCTTATTTTTCATAGTAAATTACTGACTTGACTAAAGCCTGCTTCAACTAAGTAGAGGGAAAAGTCAGTAATGTTGCTCGGTGACAACTTTCAGTTCAGGATATTCCTCTCGGATGATTAGTGAATTTCAAAATTTAGTATACACCTGTGTTTTGAATAAGACTTGTGTCTAAACATCCTCTTTCAATGCAATCAACTCATCTTGCCTCATAATATCAAGATCATATACATTAAAGTACAGCATTTCATGAGGCAAGCTGGCACATACAAATTTTCGATGTGTTGAAAACAAACATTAAAACTCTCCTTTTAGATTTAGCAACTGGCTTGTATGTAACAATGTATCTTTTGGCAAAGTTGGTTGATTTTTTGGTTGAGATTGTGTTTCTGCATTTTCTATTTTCATACTAAACATTTGCATAAAAAATTTACATATTTTAAAATGTACCATTGATTTCTAACAAACATTAAATAATTTGTGCGTATTTTTTCCCTCATATTTATTTCATATGATTCCTTCTTAACTACATGATATATCTTTACACTGATAAATAACTAATTATCAATTTTATAATTATTATTATTTGCGATCAATGAGATTTTCATTAGGCTAAGGGATATCAGATCACATTGGTTGTTGGAATTAGCAGCATATAGCAGAATCCTGCTTTGGCTGCTTGACTTGGAAGATGTGCCCTTAGGCATTGGTTATTTTTTAAAAAGAAGGCGAAAATCACTGTGCCAACCCAAGTGAAGCTATGGCATGTACTTATAGTACGTGAAATGAGAATTTTGAGAAAAAATTAGTAAGCATCTGGGCATGAAAAAGTTTCTTCATTGGCTGCTGTTCGAGCTGTGAGTTGCACTTCACAAGTTGGTGAAAGATGATTCATTGAGACCAGTCACATGAGTGGTCACACGCCCAAGTACTGACTCCGAGAGGAACCGCTTGAGAATTAAGTTGTAGGAAGACTTATGAAATAGGAGAAAGTAAAAATTATTCCGTGAATATTCTCAGTTCGCATCATCAGATGGGAATTATTCATTGTCTTCTGCGAAACTTATAACAATAATGTCTGCTTTAAACCTGGCTGTAAACTTCTCGATCGTTGTTTTTGCAGCTCATATCTTCTCTATGTGATTGACAATACTTCTCTGGAAGTTATTAATGTTCGGATCCATTCAAGGGCTTTTTCATATTCCTTCGGAGATGATCGTAATCTCTTCATCTTTTCACTGTTAAGCGTTTTCAGCTGGGTTTTTCTTCTATTTTCCTGAGGTTCAATGAGTTTAGGAAAATTCGCTGGTGTTGGTATCGGCGCAGTGGGCCTCGGTTGAGACTTCTTAGTTTTAAAATGCTTCTTATATACAGGGCAACCTAAGAACAAACGTGTTGCTGTGAACAGACAATACACATCGGTTTTTCTTCAGGCTTGAGTGGGTAGTTCTTGCTTCTATGCTGTTGTCCACACTTGCAGCACCACTCAGGATTTGAGCAGAGATGCTGCGAATGGCCGTATTCCTGGCATCTTTAGAATTGTACTACTCTTCTTTTAGGGTCAAACTTCTTGATTTTCATGTTCACAATAAACATATTATTTAGCTGGTGTATTGCATGACCTTCCTTCATTTTCGTGAGCTCTAACAAAAATATTCGAAGTTTCTCAACAGTTTTAGCTCTGCATCTTGTGTTATATTCACGTTAACCCCTTGGGTACATTTGACATCTGAGTGACGTCATTCACTTGTTTTCCCTAGGAGTGGATGACATGTCTAAAACGTTATTTGAGGTTAGGCACAATTCTGTTCATTTCATTGTAGCTTGTATCAGTCATAATAGAAGAGGCAATTCCAGTATTTCGGTGAACATTATTTGCGATACAATGCCCCATTATGTCAAAAACAAGGAATATATTTTATGATAGTAATAGCGAAACTGACTTTGAGAAATCTAAAGAAGAATTGTTTAGTGATCCTGAATTTGACAATTACAATGAAATACAAAGCGAAGGTGATGAAGACGATATTGAACTAGAAAATGATAATATACTATCAAGGTTTTGAAGACGCACAAGACATCTATCGAACAGTGATAGTGAATCTTCTCGTGAACCAGAAAATGATGACAATTGTAATATAAAACCAAGGTTTTGAAAATGCACAAGATGTCTATTGCGCAGTGATAGTGAATCTTCTCGTGAACCAGCATCAGAGGAATGGATTTGCGAAGAAGAAGAAAATGTAGCCGATATAAAAAGTTTTTCTGAAATATCTGGAATTAATCCTTTGAGCCTGCGTAGACTAGGTGGTAATCCAACGCTTTTAAATGTTTTGAAAAAAAGTCTTCAATGAAGATTTTTGGGACACTATAGTAGAAGAGACGAATAGATATGCCAGACAAGGGATAGAAAAAGAAGGTTGTGTAACTAACAAACAAACAAATAAAAAAAAAAAAAAAAAAGGAAAGGAAAGGAAAGGAAAAAAAAGGGGGGTACTTTCCTGTAAGTTTTGATGAAGTGAAAGCTCATAGTATTGCATTATGCATCTTGATGTCGCAAATGAAGAAAAATGCATATGTATTGGTCAAAAAGATATGCAGTAAGTACTACAATTTTTGCCAGCACTATGGCAACGCAATAGGTTTTTTTGATATTTCAAGCTTTCTACATTTTACGGATAATGAAAAGGAAGATAAAGATGACAGAATAAGAAAGATTAGAAATATAGTGGATTACCTAAATAATAAATTTTGTTACCTTTATACTCCAGATAGTGAAGTAGCTATTGATGAATCGCAACCAAAAATTATATCCGTTCCACATGCAAATATTTTCTCAAATAAATCCGTACCCAAGGGGTTACTATTACTTGATGAATAAATAAGTGACATTACTACAGGATCACATAGCACACTGCTTATTAGCAACCAACATCAACTGGTCATTACTTCACTTCAGTTCAACAAATAACTAGTGTGGTGCCACATATACGTAACATCTCCCCTCTTTTGGGAGAGTCATAGGAATCACTGCATTACATAATTCTCATATTTGGATGGTCGATATACATTATGACCACACTTCTGGTTTTATATACACAATACACGATTATATTGTTATTCCTATTATCTTGATGGTGAGGATCATTATGTATTTTGGATGTTCACTACTTATTTACTTTCCTCATTCTCATCTACATACACCATAATAGTCTAATGTCACTAAATTCTTCTGATTTTTAGTTTTTCTTAAAGTGGAATTTATTCTGTTTAATTACCCTATTATCTTTTGTTCTAATCCAATATGATCTAGGAGTTCAATGCTTTTTTAAAACTATAGCATGCTCCCATTTATTTTTCCATCTCAACATTACCTTTTTCCCATGAATAAATTCAGGTCTTTCCCTTGCATGCTTATCATAATAGATTTTAGCCTGTTTCTGCTTACTCCTCACCTTTTCTCTATATTGATCTGTTACAGTTGGTTTCAATTCAAAGAACCAAAGGTATTGCCG